TTTTTTATGGACACAACACCGAGACAGTATAATTAATTTTTATTAATGTATTACTTTATGGATATGACAATGAATCTAGTTGTCAATTCAAAATAAGATTTTAGTTTCAGACTTTTTAATTATTCCAAGAAAATGGTCTTCTTTGCAAAGTTCTGTGCATAAGGTTTACCTGTCATCAGGTTCACACTTCTCACTCGTCTTTTGAACAGGTGTAGCAGTTTATCCCTTGTTTCGTGTTTGGGTTTTTAGTTCCTTCTAGGGTCTTCTAATACACTTTCACTCCCAGTAACTCCTGCATCTTAGTGGCATTATCACCTTGCTTAGGGTAAACTGGTTAAAAAAAATTTTTTTCTCTTATAGTTCATGATTATTTTTTAGCAATATTTGAACAAATAGCATGCCATGAACTTTAAGCTTAGTAACTTCCAGTGACAGTCATAAAATGTAGAAATTTCTAATGATAGAAACTTATATGGCATTAAAGTAAAACTATATCTGCCTTGTCACTTTTTGTACTTCTCAGACGCTCTATCAAGATGAATTATTGTAAGAATAACCTGTATAACCTAAAATTTCATCTTGATCTTTCTTGCCTCTTTTTCTATTCCATAAAGATGATTTATCAAGTTTTTGTAAGAATATCAAATGAAAAATCAAATTTAAGCTTGATAATTAATCACATTCAAACAATTGTAGAATTTGTGACATTGTTCTGACAGGTTTTTTATAAAAATTTGTTTAAAAAAAAATTTAATAAATGTTGTCGTGTTCTGTCACTGGATAATGATGATAGGCTAATTTGGTTGACTGTTTTGTTCCTGAGCAGTGAGTTTAATCCTTAATTGGATGCCCTTTGTAAAAATTTGAAAAGGAAATAACCCAGCAAGAATTTACATGTAAAATTAAGCAAACAAATAAATGTTCTTACCAACACTTGGTTACTTTAAGGAAAAACTTTAATATATAGTTTTTTTTTGTTTTTGTTCCCAAGGATTGAATTTTTATTGCTCCCAAAGGATTGAAATTTTTATTTCTTCCAGAAGGCTAACAAATATTGAATCTGTTGGAATTAAAACCCTGTCCCAAAGTAAATAACATGATAAATGAAAGATGTCATTTAAAGCTAATTAAAAATGAAAAGCCATAACATCTTGATATCCTTTTAACTAAAGGTTTTCCCTCTAATTAGAAGAACCATCTACTGAAATATTAATTTGTCAAAACATTTTAAGTTGGGAGAGAATTAAAATTCTAAATTTAAGGCCTCTGGAATCTGTTGGACAATTTCAAGTGAACTTTGACTTGAAGATTGTAGTGTTAAAGCATCCACGCATTTTTTTAGCTATAATAATGTTTAAATTTCTTCAAAACAATGGAGTTGGCCATATTTCCTGAATACATATCTTTTAAATAACATGATAAATGAAAGATGTCATTTAAAGTTCATGAAGCAAGAAAAAGAATTCTTTAATTTAACTCAATGGAAAATAAAAAAAAAAAAAAAAAGTTAAATAGTTAAAGAAAAGATACATATTTGATATCAAAAAAGTTCTTTATGTTTTCATTTTAACCTTTAACAAAGGTTTTCCACTGCATTCTTTTTAATTATCTCAGTATCCAATTTTTAATTTACCAAAATTTTCTGTTGAAATATTAATATGACAACCATGAAAGTCAAAACATTTTAAGTTGCTGGTAGATACAGAGGGATTTTTTTTGGGTTTTATATTAAATTTATTTTTAAATCTAAAGATTGTTAGCAACTATGTTCAAGAAGCATTCATCATAGCCAGACAGAAAACCTAAAATAAAAAGTTTACCTTAAGTTTCAGATTTTGCCATTTTTTAGTTCTGCATACAGCTTCATAGATTTTGTCCTCATGAAATTAATATGTAAGAGATAATTGCTGCAAGAAAAATTAGAAACTTAAAACCTAAAAGCATTCCATTATGAGGCTACAAATATTTCTAAAAGGTAACAAGTTGAACTTTGACTTGCCAAAGATTAAAGATTGATTAGAATCTTTTGTTCAAAAAAGCATCCAGTATTTAGTATTGTTGAAGTTAGCATTTTTTTGTTTCATTCATTTGTAGCTATAAAAACTGCAAAAAACAATTTAGTATTTGTATTTATTTTAATCATTAAATTGTTTTTAAAATAAAACAATGGAGTTTTATTTTCCTTTAAATCAGTGAATACATATTTTACCAATCCACCCGGCAATTTTATTTGGAGTAGTGGATCACCAGCAACTGGACCCTCAATTAAGACTGCCTGCTAATTGTTAACACATCAACTGTCTATCCACCTTCACTGACTGTTCATCCTTTGAACATCCCTAAAATGGTCATTTTTCATTACAACATAGTACCAACCTTACACATGCTAATAAACATGTCATCAATCCATCTCTTCTTCTAGCTATTTGAAACATAAATAAATAAATTTTTCCAGGATACTCCTTGACTGTTGTCCTTGCCTTGGCCTATGTACAATTTTTTAATGTTTGCCTAACACCGACATTTGGACCTCACAACAGAAGGTAAAGGCAAAATGTGTTTAGTGTCAATGAAGAAGTAAAAAAGTATCTTCATTCAAAACTAGCCATTTGCATGGAAAGTGCCAAAGGTTGGGCTCCATAAGCTGATGGCAATCTTGCCAAACAAAACAAAGCTTCTATAGATGGAATAAAATGTTGAAAAAAAAAAAAAAAATGGTACTTTAATTTGATGGAAAATAAACTTGTAATTTTGAAAGGAAATTACAAGCTTTATTCTATCTAAAAAAAAATGAGATATTTAAATAGTTAAAAAAAAGTACCATTTTCATTATACATATTTCAGGTATATTCAATGTCAAAAAAATAAAAATTGGTTTTAAAAATTTACATTTAATGTTGAATATTTTAACCTTTAACACTTTGATCCAATTTAAAATAACAGGAAAGCAATTTTTTTTTTAATTTTACTTTTTAACCCCTTTCCACTGCTTGTATGTATAATTATTAATTGAAGATATATAATTTGACATTTAAGAAAAAGGCCTCTCAATTTCACAAAGATCTTTTCCTTTCCAAAAAAAAAAAAAAAAAAAAAAGAGAGAGAAAAGAAAGAGAGAGAGAAAGATTTAATTGTTGATTTAATTTTAAATTAGATAAGTACCTAGTTTAGATTGTTTTTGTTATTCATAAAAGAGTTTTCTGTTGCCTTAGCAGTTTGTTTAAATTGAAGTTGAAGATAAATTTTGGTAATGCCAAAGGAATTCTGTAAGAAGAAATTTAAAATAATAAAAAAATTAAAAACTGTTTTCAAATGAATACATTTGATAGTTTTTTAAAATTCTTGAGATAAATTTTTGGTAATGCTTTTCTTTAGTAAAAAAAAATTCTAATATTGAAACTTAAAAATTTTTTTTTAGTCTATTCATTGCCAAATTCAGTCTGCAACTGTTTTGTTGTCCCCTACTTAAACTTTGGATTTATTTTTTTTTCCAATCAGATTTTGATTTCATTGTCTATTGTCCTAATTATAAATGGTGACAATACCAGCTTAGTTTTCTGAATTCAATATGAAATCTCAACATTTTAGAATCATCTGGAATTTGGGTTTTATTTATTGTTAACCATTATGAAATCTTTCATTAATCTTTCTTTTGACTGAATTTCATTTGCTTTCATTGCTATTCGTCCTATCAGTCATTAGTAAACAAGTAGTGATGTTATCTTTAGAAGCAGTATTGTCAACCATTATTCATTTTTGACTAGTATTTCCTTCATCTTAGTTTACCTTCAATTTATTAGTAGTAGTAATATAATCTGCAAGTTTTATTAGGTGAACCATTGTTACCTATTAAGAATTTTTGTATTATATTTCTTTCAACTTAATTTCAGTTGCTTTTCATTCTATCTAATCGGAATTAAATTTTATTATTAAGGGCTCCTCAAGTTATTAGTAATCATTTAGGGTTGCTAGTCTTGTTAAACATTACTAAAGAACAGTGTGTTTGATTCTCACTTGGTGTCCTATAAAAAATTTAAGCATAAACCAATAAGGATTGACTTATTCTAAAATCAATTGACCTAACATTGTAATATTATTTAGATGAAATATTGTTAACCAATTCTGGACCAATATTTATTTCTTCTTGAATTCAATTGCTTTTCAGTTCCTCTAGTAAGACTGGCATTCTATTATTTTATTATGAGATGAAGCATTATCAACCATTAGTCATTTTGTCTAGTATTTCTTTCATCTGAATTTCACTTGTTTTATTTACTATAGTAGTATTATTAGTAGTAATATTATCTTGAATTTTGATTAGATGAAACATTAAGTATTAGTCATTTTTGCTATTTCTTTCATCTTCATTTCAATTACTTTTCATAGCAAATACTCAATACCACTATGGCTGCTAAGAATGCAGATTAGAAATAAGCTGTTGTGAAAACCCTAACATATATTCGTTTTTCTTTCGAACAATAAATCATCTAATAGTAATAAAATTCAAAATGATATTACTACAACTAATTTATATATTCAAAAGGCCTAGCTTTTGGGTAAAATAAGGAATATTGTTAAATTTGGCCTTTATCCTTTGACACTTGTAACTAAAGTAGCAGTTGTTATAACACAGGGTTTCCAGTGAAAAATTATGTTTGTTTTATAGGTTTTTTTTTTTCTGATTTTGCACTTGGAACTAGTAGCCGTCAGATGATGCTATGGGATGTTATAAGTAATTGAAATTAAAATGAAAGAAATACTTGTCAAAAATTAAAGATTTTAAAATTGAACATTTTAATATTTCATGTAATTTTATCCATTGCCTTTCAATTTAACCATTTGTGAGAATAACTTTTCTGTCTCTTCCCCGTTAGTATGCACCATGCTTGGCTGGTCATGTGACCCTTCAGGGCTAGTTTGTGAAGCCTGGTCTTTACAGAGGGATAGACATCAGAGAAAGATGTGTCCTGAACTTGAGCAGAGATAGTCCTTTGCAACATATGCCTGACTTGTGAGTAAAAACAACTTCTTATAATATTCACTAGTTTTTCTTTTCAGGATTGTTGAGAAAGCATGTAACACATTTTTATACTTTGGTAACACGTCTTTCAAGAAAATAAAATCATTTAAATTCTTCTGACTTCTTTCTAACCATCTTTATTTTTTTCTATAATTATTCAAATAGTTATGTTTTTCAATGGCAGATGTTATCCAAAGCTACCCAACATATGTTTAGTAATCTAACCAATACTTATTAACTTTAACTATTTTGGTACAAGGTTACAACTGTGAAATCAAACTTAATAGACTTATAATGGTTTCCAAGACTAGCTTGTTAACCTTTATAACATAAGGTATTCTGTTATTAAGTAAATTTAGTTTTGTCTGGTACAAGGCCAGGGAAAATCAGTTTTATTATTCACTATTGGTCTGTGAGACTAGGTTGCTGACCATTCCTCTACAGGAAGGTAGATTCAGGTCAGTTATCTTTGTTAGTCATCATAAACATTTAAAATGGAGAGAAAACTGAAAACCAACTATAATCGTGTGGCTTTGATTATCAGCATGGTGCCAAATAACATTCTTAAGAGAAACCAAAATATTCGAAATTCTTTTGCCACTGAATGTAAAAATGATTTACTTCTCTCTTGATAACAGAATGTCGATGTTAATACTGATGAAAAGTAATTTTCTGCTTTATATAAGGCAATTGAAAGTTAGTGGACTGTTTATCCCAATTTTGGGTTCACACACTTCACAATTTCTAAAGGAAACAGAAATACCAGTTTCTTATAAAAGAATCTTATTTATATGATCAACCATTCTACTCAAGAGTTTTTTGGTTTGTGATGACTTCATGTTGGGAATGTAATAATTGCTTGAACAATTGTGACAGATGATTGTTATTGTTTGTTATTGTTTAATACAATTTTGTGATCTGGAACATCAAAGAATAAAAACTAAATTGTTTTTGATCAATTCTGATTCGCCCCATTATTCCAAAATTTGTGGGGGTTTTTTTTTTTTTTTTTTTTTTTTTTTAAATCATTTCACCCCAAGCAAGGCAATAAAGGCACTAGGATGCAAGGGGTTACTGAGTAAAAGAAACAGAGAGGACAATAAAAGAACAAGATTCAAGGAGACAGAAAATGACTGACATTACATTTAAATTTTTGAAGATTGTATTTGACAAGAAAGCTATAAGAAAGCTCCACAAGTGAGAACAGTGGGAGAAGAAACTATTAAAATAGAATTTATGGTTACAACTCGCAATTTCAAGAGTAAAATGATGAGACCTAGTTTCCAATCTAGTACTGCACTTAAATTTATGAAGTTGAGGTACCAGCAAGGAAAGATTATCAGAACAATTACCATAAAAATATTTATAGAAGAGGTTAAAGGGAAGCTATTTTATGATGATGGGAAAATAACTGAAGGGATAGTTGGATTTATGCCTTTCTCATGGAAATAAGAGCAACAAGGTAAGCCTTAGGTAGAATTTGAACTTGATTTACTGATTGTATTTTCTTTGCTAACCACTCCACATTGTACCTCAACTAAAAACTAAAAGGTCACTCAACGTATTGTAATCATTTGCATAAGTCTTACCAACTCTAAATTAACTAATAGTGGAATGGATAAGTCAAAGACAAAACATTTTTTGTGAATTTTTTTTTTTTTTTTTTAAATATTAAAAATGTTCCAATTAGGATCTTGATGTTAGAGAGTCAAATTAAAGTCTTAATCTTCCATTTGTTGGGATTTGTCTATCCAGGTTTTAGTTGCTATCTGGCTGTTGAGATTCCAAACATTTAACAAGACATTTTTAAATGAAACATGTTATTTTCTGAAGGAAAAATAGAAGCAGAACTTTAGTTGAAATAACATTTATATATTCTTTTCAAAGATAATACAGTGACAATAAAATGTTCAATTTTTCTGGTAGTGAAGTTTGTTTTATCAAGTAATTAAGCATTCTTAGGGAGGTGTGAAATGTATGGACAGACTTACTTTATGATGGTTAGCCTTATGTGTTTGTGAGTTTGTAGGCAAAAGGCTTAATCAGCAGTTGGTGGTTAATTTCTTCTATTGTGTGTGTAGACAAAGCCTTAGTTGGTGGCTGCAGCTGGTGTGTGTGTGTGTGTGTGTACATGTAGATCAAACCGGTTTCCCAAATGGGTTTGAACCTCAGGAAAAAGTATGCTTCTATTTTTATATCCACAACAGGATTCAAAATCTAATTTCACAGAGGTGTGAACATTTTGAATACAAGATTTTCATATGTACAAACAATGAAAATCAAACCATACAAGCCATTGTTTGGGAGACAATGCTTTACAATAAGCAGCCACTTCAAGGTTTTTCAGATATGCTCTCATTCAAGTGAAAACAATACTGGCTTCAGAGGAAGTGCTTAGAGATACTTAAACTAAATTGTTTTTGCAATGGTGATAGCAGGAATTGTAAAATTAAACTCTGCAAATATAGTTTTTAGAAACCTCCTCCTACATCAGGGGTCAAAAGATTTTTGTCCAGCCTGTCAACTTAACACCTGGACACTAATTATCAAATTAATTTGCGGAGCAAGTGACAGAAAAATATCAGTTGGGGTTAATTCATTTCAATGCAACAAATTTTTTAAATCAAAATTTAATTCCGAATCCATTGCTGACTTCTACAAAAGAAAATGTTTTGCCAAGTGGAAAATATAAAAGCCTATTGGATAATATGAAAATGATGCTATCATTATTTGGAAGTACATATGCTTGTGAACAACTTTTTTCAAAAATGAAATATATTAAATTTTGTTTATGAACAAAGTTGAATTATGACAACATGGATGGTGTTTTGTTCCTGTCATCAACAAATATTTCACCTGATGTGGAGAAGTTATCAAACAATAAGTGGAAACAAGTGTCTCATTAAATAATTTTTCATTTCTAACTGTATTTCATCTGTAATAAGGAATTTGCATTTTTGTTAATTATGTTAGTTGTTATCCTGTTATTCCTGCAATAAAATAAGAAATCTTGTTTTAATAATATAACATTAACTTTGTTGTTTCTTTTTTAAACCTCCAGACCGAGGTAGCCTTCTGGACAGAGCAGTCTGAGGTCAAGACATTGATATCATGGCCTTCCTCCGAAACACTGCATAGCTGTCTTGCCTGCTTTCTCTAAAAGGTTGCTGACCACTGTCCTACATAGTGAAAAACATGGAAGGTAATTTTTTGCCCTTAAAATAACACATCTCTCATTCTTTTGTGCATTTATAGTCTCATCAGGTCAATACTTTCCCATGGTTGTCCTGGGTATGATGATAAACTACATTTGGCAGCAAGGCCTCTGATTGGGAGGTTTTGAGGAGTGTGGAACCACTTCTTAATTGCTGTTGTTTCCTGCTCCACCCTAACCTGGGGTGGTAGCACCTGTTATGGTTCCAGCTATAGGCAAATAGAGAACCCTCAAACTGTGGTCAAAACATTATGAAAGTATAAAAATGCATTTTTGTAGTAAGAATACCAGCAATACATTTTCATAGTAAAAAAAAAAAAAAATGCCAACAATATATTATTGGAAAAAAATTAACAAAGCTCCCCCCAAAATTAAATTTTGGCATTGAATTACCTATAAAGAGTTGCTATGACATTAGCAACCCTACCCAAACCAAACTTTCGTATGGATGCAATGCATGTTGCCAAACTCATTCAGAAATATCTAAACTGTCAGTTTTCTCATTTTTAATAGGTTTGAGCAAGTTAAGTCTGTGTTTTTTTTTTTTTTTAAACTTAAAGACTGGTGCTACAGAATCACAAAGAATTGCACCAAATAATAGAAACTATATCAATTGAGGATTTTTCAACAGTATGAGATGTTCAAACTATAGAACTTTTTCATTGCATTGTGGCTCAGTTTTGGTTGATTCATTCCTTAGTCATCTTCCAGAACTTTTTTTGTAGGTAGCTAGACACTAACACCAGTACTACAAAAAGAGAAAATAAAAGCAAATATACTGATCATACCAACGTTTACAACCCAACTGTCTTGTGTGTGATACAATTTTTTTATTTATTTTATACATTGCCTATTTGCCAATCCTCTTGTTTTAGTTACTGTTTCTTCAGTTTTGCAAACAGACCCTATGTGAAGATCCTTCACTTTCCTTATATGGATCAGTTGTATGGACATGTGACAAGACAAAATGTAATAACAAAGAGAATGTGATAAATTGTCACAACAAATCTTTGAATAAATTATCATCTCTAAAACAGAATGACATTCTTGAGTTAACGATAAGAATGTTTTTAGCTTTTTCAAGAATCTTTTCATCTTAAGACGCAACTGACACAACTGAGTTGGAACATAATAATAGTACCCTTGTACTTGATACCGTTTCCACATGTGTGTGTTTTACATCTGGTGTTCGCATTCTTCAATAAAGCAAGTTTACCCTTCTGCAAGCGTGTGTGAACATATTGAAAAAATATATTTAAGTCCAGTAGCAAGAACTGAACACACAACACTAGTAAATGGTCGTCAAGGTTAGCTCATTGGTAAACTACAGCAAATACTCTACATATTTTAGGTGTGTACAAAGGTTTTATGAAAAAAAAAACAGGTTTTCTAATGAATCTATTCAGAATCTATTTTTGAAAAAAGACAACACTGAAAACGTTTGTACACACTTAAAATATTCTGCTTTTCCTGCCACTGACATGACTTCCTTCTGTCTTTTCTATAAATATTTTCATGGCAATTGTTCTAATGAGTTTTCCTTGTTGGTACTTCAACTGCATGAATTTACACTCACTACTAGATTGACAATGTCTGAACTTTTTACCATGGAACAATCTAGATGTAACGGTTAAGTTCTATCCTAATAGTTTCTTTTCTCACCTGTGGGATTCTCTTCTGGTTTCTTGTTTCTCAGTTGTCTACAATCTTCAAAAATTCCTTAATTCTGTTCTTTTATTGTCCTTTCTCCTTACTAAAGTATCCTCATTCTCTTTCACTCCCAGTAACGCTTTGAATCTTAGTGGCATTATCATCTTGTTTGGGGGTGAAATGATTAAAATATACATGCTGGGTGCTATAGATAAATTGTTGTGTAAATTATGCAAAAATAAAAATAGCACTGATATCTCATTTTAACAAATATATATTTACCAAAATTACACAAAAATATCTTGAAATACTAAAGAGTAAATTTATTCAATAAAATCTCAGTTGGCTTCAACCACGGCCTCCAGACAACTTTGGAATCTGCTGTAGCTCTTCTGAATGGTTTCCTTGTTGAAGTTGGTGAATGCTGCCATAACCCTTACCTTCAGTTCATCTTTGGTACTACAAGCATTTTTTTTTTTTTGCTCTCTCACTCAACTACATCCCACAATCAAGAGGTTGCAGTCTGGGGAGTTAGGTGGCCAGATATAAGAGGAGATATGGTTGCAGAAATTGTCTGACAGCCATAACTGGGTTCTCCTGCTTGTGTTGCATGGTGCAATCCTGTTGTAGAGTAGCAGAACACCCCCACAAGATGTGCTTGGTCTAAGACTATTTAAACAGCAGTCTCTCTTACTGAGGGAGAGGAGTTAAAAATTAACTGTTTATTACATTAGTCTGTGTTCTCAACCATGTACCATGTTATTCTCTGGAATAAACTACTTATTTTCTATGTGTGTGTGTCAGCCTTCTCTATTTATGACACAACACAGACATAAAGTCTTCCAACAGCCACCCTCTTGACCCAGGGCAGCACTACCTCCTCAGGGCACTTGGTGTTTCTTTTTCTTTTTGTTCTCTTTTTCTTTTTGTTCTCTTTTTCTTCATTATTCTTCTTCTTCTCTTCATTTTTGTTCTCTTTTTTCTTCTTCTCCTTCTCTTTTTTTCTTCTTTCTCCTTCTCTTCTTTCTCCTTCTCTTCTTTTCTTCTTTCTCCTTCTCTTCTTTCTCCTTCTCTTCTTTCTCCTTCTCTTCTTTCTCCTTCCCTTTTTGCTTCTTTCTCCTTCCCTTTCTTCTCCTTTTTGCTTCTTTCTCCTTCCCTTTCTTCTCCTTCTCTTTTTGCTTCTTTCTCCTTCCCTTTCTTCTCCTTCTCTTTTTGCTTCTTTCTTCTTCCCTTTCTTCTCCTCTTTTTGCTTCTTTCTCCTTCTCTTTTTGCTTCTTTCTCCTTCCCTTTCTTCTCCTTCTCTTTTTGCTTCTTTCTCCTTCCCTTTCTTCTCCTTCTCTTTTTGCTTCTTTCTCTTTCCCTTTCTTCTCCTTCTCTTTTTGCTTCTTTCTCCTTCCCTTTCTTCTCCTTCCCTTTCTTCTCCTTCTCTTTCTTCTCCTTCTCTTTTTGCTTCTTTCTCCTTCCCTTTCTTCTCCTTCTCTTTTTGCTTCTTTCTCCTTCCCTTTCTTCTCCTTCTCTTTTTGCTTCTTTCTCCTTCCCTTTCTTCTCTTTTTTCTTCTTTCTCCTTCCCTTTCTTCTCTTTTTCTTTTTCTCCTTCCCTTTCTTCTTTTTGCTTCTTTTCTCCTTCCTTTCTTCTCTTTTTTGCTTCTTTCTCCTTCCCTTTCTTCTCTTTTTGCTTCTTTCTCCTTCCCTTTCTTCTCTTTTTGCTTCTTTCTCCTTCCCTTTCTTCTCTTTTTGCTTCTTTCTCCTTCCCTTTCTTCTCTTTTTGCTTCTTTCTCCTTCCCTTTCTTCTCTTTTTGCTTCTTTTCTCCTTCCCTTTCTTCTCTTTTTTTGCTTCTTTCTCCTTCCCTTTCTTCTCTTTTTTGCTTCTTTCTCCTTCCCTTTTTCTTCTCTTTTTGCTTCTTTCTCCTTCCCTTTCTTCTCTTTTGCTTCTTTCTCCTTCCCTTTCTTCTCTTTTTGCTTCTTTCTCCTTCCCTTTCTTCTCTTTTTGCTTCTTTCTCCTTCCCTTTCTTCTCCTTCCCTTTCTTCTCCTTCCCTTTCTTCCTTTTTTCTTCTCCTTCCCTTTCTTCTCCTTCCCTTTCTTCTCCTTCCCTTTTTCTTTATTTCCCTTCCCTTTTCCTCTTTTCTTTCTCCTCTTTTCTTTCTCCTCTTTTCTTTCTCCTCTTTTCTTTCTCCTCTTTTCTTTCTCCTCTTTTCTTTTGATTTTTACTTTTTTTTTATGCAGTCTTTTCCCTTACACTCTCTGTAGTCCCTTCCATACTAGTGGCACTCCTACATTGCTTGGGGCGAATTGCTCAAAAAAATTCACTTAAAATATGACTTTTCATGTTGGTATTATATTATCTTATTAATGCCATCTTTTGATATTGTATCACCTTAATAATGCCATCTTTTGGTATTATATTATCTTAATAATCCAAGATATTTCGACTGAAATAAGTTATTCTTTATTTAATCATATTGAATTTAATCTATATTTTCTCAAAGTATACTCCTGGATTATAAATTTATATATAAAAGGTGGTAATCTGATATAAAACCTATGACATTGTTTGCATCCAATGAGGTTAACTATTTTTTCTTTTAGGGTAAATGTTATCATTATTGACAAAGTGGGAATAGTCATATGCAAATCTCTTAAGCACAGACATTTCTTGTGAAAAATAATATCATGGGAGAATCTGTGTTTAGAGCGCAATTGTTGGCCATGCTCCAAAAAAGGCCCTCAAACTCATTGAAAGTTAACAATATGGTAGGGAGTGTTGATCTCGAAATGGGTTTAAAAGCCACTTTCATGCTGCACAGTAGTAAAAAGAAATAAATAACAACTTACCTCTTCTTGACATTCTCTTAATCTAAACTGATACTAGTTTAAAAATAAACATCCACTGTAAGTCAACAAATAAAAATCATCTCATACGCTTTTACTTGGAAGACAACAATATAATAAAAGATATAAAATGTTGTTTCTGTTGGTAAACTTCTCAATGGGCCATTCATTTCGTCACATTACCTAGGTCTTCATGAAAAAATACACTCCATTATTGGTGAATTTAACAGCCATAGAATACAGGTCGATGATAATGCAATTCAAGTAGAAATCCTTTCTTTTTCTAAGTTCTGTTCCCTCAAAATACATTCCCTGATCTGATGAGGAAAGCAAATTGGACACTTTTCACAGAATTCCTCAATATCTCCAGAACCAATTCATCATAATAAATTTATCCAACTAATTTGTTCAGGTAAAGATCTTGTACAAAATTTAACCAAAAACAGTAACTATAGCAAATGTAAAGCCAAAGTTCATAAAATTCAATAAACATTAGATTACAGAGAATAATTTCCTAAATTTTTAAGATTATTATGTAGTTAAAAAATTATATAAAAAAGGCATGTTATATTCCTAAAGTAATTTTTACAGATATATAGGAAAAAATTAGATAAAATTTCCGTGTGTCAGTCAAGCTGTCAATATCTTAAATAAACAATTACTACCATGTTAACAAATGCATTTCTGTGAAATTTTAAAATTAAAGTAATTAATACTTGTTTAAAATCAGAGTAATTAAACTTTAAATTGGCTCATAATCTGCAAATAAATCTTCAGAAAAGCATATTTTATTTCTGAAAGATTTTTTTTAATAAAGACAATTACATCATGATGATAAATGGCTAAAAATGGTGCTAAACAAAAACTCATTCCAGTCAATTTAAATTAGTTTTGAAATACAAAAAAAAGTATTTTGCTTACTGGAAATATTAAAATTAATTTATTCAGTTGAAATTAAAAGTAAAATAAAAGCTTCAAGAAAGTTGTTTTTTTTTTTTTTCCTTAAATTTTAAACCTCTAGTATTGTGTTTCTGTGAAGGTGCTTATTTTAAACTGTAAATTTTTCAAATTTTTCTTGCTTTTGATGAAACTTAAAAAAAAATTGGAGAAGTTTTCAAATCTGTCCAAAATGTTTAAAATTTATGCAGGGGTAGGGAGAAATATTGACTTAAACAGTTTTCTGTTAACAAATGTCAACACTGATCTTAATACCCATACACCCAATGATTTGCTTTTCCATTTTGTAAAAATAAACAAAGGAAACTTATACTTAACATCAGGAAGAGACAGTTGAAATTTCTGGGGCATGTCATGAGGAAGGAGGGCTTGGAAAATCTGATACTCACAGGACAGATAGAAGGAAAGAGAGGAAAGCAACGTGTGACATAGCTGATGGGCTTGAACAGGATTTGGGAGAAATAACAAAAGGACAAAACTTATTAAAAGCTACAACAGACAGGAAGATGTGGAGGGCCATAATTGGCTATGTCTTGATGGGACATGGCACATAAAATAAGGAGCATTATTTTACTTACATACAACTTACAACAGTTAAAAAAAAATAGATTATAAAGGAAAATGTTTAACTATTCTAAAAAAAAAAAAAAAAAGAAAAGTAAAAAGTATGCATAATAAGTGACTCAAAAAAATCATTTTTTTTGCATGCACAAAAATATTGTTGATCTAAATTAAATTTCTAAAACTTTTCTTCTCTCGACCAATTATTCTACTCTTTTCATCAGCATGTATAAGAATAAAGAGATAATTTTTAAGGCAGATGTTTGTGGTTAAATGGGAAGCAATAAACTGTTGCAGACCGGTGTATGCATTGAGAGATAAACGTGTGTCTCCTGAAATAGCAACAACAAACATAGCAGACTCGGGATGTGTGTCCATATGAAAAAATATGTAAAGAAACGACAAGAACCATTATATAAGTACAACAAATGATAATGTATTAACAATAAAGGGTTACAAGTGACAAAGATGTGTGTGTCAAATGAATGTGAAAACCTAATAGTACAAAGTATGTGTAGTGAGTGAACGTGTGTACATGCATACATACGTGTGTGTGTGTTTGTATTGTTCATGCATTTCCCAAAGGGAATGAGTTCTCCATGAGAAGTTGCCTATTGGCAGATAAGATCAGAAGAGAGTGATAAAAAATTATTGCAGAGTATTTATAGTCCTTAGTGTCTCCTAGGAGCAGTTTTGAAAATTAGGAGGAGGTAACCTGACAAAACTGTGTGGATCAGATGAAAATACAGTTGAGAGTTTGTTGATGTAATATGACAATGCACTGATGAAGGTTGTTTTTTTTTTTTTTTTTTTTTTTATGAGTTGGAGCTGGAGCCCATCCTTTTTCTGATGAAAGGAGCGAGGAGGGAAGTGAGCTCAAGATCCGCTCCAGAATTTGGGGTGGGAGGAGGTGGGCGTATAAAGCCCTGCTTAAAAGTTCTTCAGGCAATTTTTCTAAAAACCAAGACAGTCATCTTTGTGTAAACAAAGGGAATGGTTGTTGGGTCTCACTGTGATTTGTTCATATCCATATATTTGTTAATGTGTCATTGATATTTGTCTTTTTTTTTATGCCGTAATTTCTGGGATTTTTATAAGGCCATGTCCATTACGTTTATTATCTCCTCAATAAAAGAGGCACAAAATTGCCTGTGCCATACAAGGTCATGTAAATTACCAAATGCCTTAGGACTAATTCAATACTTGTAGTTGGACTTGAAAAAATCTGCATAACTGACTGAGGCAAACATAAAAGCTGGCAGATTTTGTCTTTGGGAAGAGAAGGATTACGGAAGATGATTGAACAAGCCAGCTGTAAGGTTCAAGGACAAAGAATTTGCAGTAAAGAATATGAAACTGATTATTACCGATATATAACAAAAATATTACTACAAGCTATTTTAGCAGCATGACCCAAAACTAATACTGGAATTTGATGGCTCTAATCTTGAACAATCCATTGTCAAATGGTTAAAGAAGGTAGAATTGATGTGTCGGCTGTGTACAGCAAAAAGGATCACATTTGTTGTCCTGATGTGTCTAACAAGTGGTGCATACACAGTGTATCAGCAGCTGAGTGAAGAAAGAAAAAAGAAGATTTTTGCTGCATAAAAGAAGCCCTGTATACAGCCTTTACAGCATATAAATGATTTCTGGCATGTCATTTATACTCCAGAGAGTCTGTCGATGTTTTTCTGGCAGAACTACAGAAAGTCTCAGTTCTGTTCGGTGGTATATCAGAACAAGGCTTAATATGTGCTTTTGTGGCCATTCTACCTGTGTCTGTTAGGCAGCTCCTCTGTGCATCCGCCCAAATGGGCATTACACAGATGCTGGCTTGTGCAAGAGCAATATTAAAGGACAATCCCACAGGAATGGAACTAGCCACAGAAGCTGTAAAACCAATGCATGACCCAGTTGTGTGACTGCCTGCCTTGCTCGACACAAGAGACTGAAAGATGACTGTCTGAAGCTCCCAAAAAACCTCACATGCTCCCAGTGTAGGGAGCCAGGTGTGTTCCAGAATTGTTCAGGACAAGGTAGAGTCTACAGTGCCAGTTTCATCCTCCTGATTTCAGCACTGTCCACAATATAGATGTATGTGTGCAGGATGAGGGGGACTGTGCAGATGGATTCTGGGTGTTCTTGAACTATTGCCTACAGAAAGATGTGCTAGACATGGAAAAAGAAGGATGTTGAAATGATGACTCTTAGTGCATCAGTGGTGTTGGGCAGATCGATCGAGTAACTGCAGAAATTGAGGCTTTGGTAGCACAAGAGGACCCTCTTGGATTCAACTGGATGAGGTTTACTATTTAAAGTGCGGAAAGGTGCATTTCTTTTGCAAGCAAGCTTCTGCATGCATGATGGCAGCACTCTCCATTGAAGAACCTGATTTTCATGCAGAATTCAATCAGCAACGAAATGAATGGACTGCATCATGGAAATGGACAGATGGCAAAACATCCTGCAAGCTGCAAAACTGCATTGCAGAGTATGCCATGTTGATGACAGGAAATACAATGAAAAGGAATGTGTCAGTGGATCAAGAAAGTCTGGCTTATTCCCTATGATGAACAAAAATTTGGATGCCTGTAAGGGCTTCTTCCGTTGATGGCTATCATACAACAAAACAAATCGGATGTGCTGCCTGTAATGGATTACTGGGAAATTGATCACTACGTTGACATATGTACAGCAAACACTGATGTTTGCACCAGCAAACTAAGACAGTGGTGACAGCAAGGGTCAAATTTAGGAATGTGTGTACCAATGGTGGATGACTGATGATAATTCTGATCATTTTAGCAGAGGTGATGGTAAAGAGGATCAGCAGGTTGTAGCAGAAACTGAT